GGCGAGTGCATTCGCATGCCGCCGCCGTCGCCGCCATAAAGCGTCGCGCTCGCGTGCGCAACGCAGCGGCGGCGTCACGGCGCCGGCGGCCTCCGCGCCCCCCAGCGACCCTCGCGGCAGCGCCAGGAACAAAACGCCTCGACTTTTCGCCTCCCTCGAAGATACGTAGATTTATTAGTGATTCAGTTGCGGCAGTGTCCACTGCCAAGGAAGTAGTACGTGTTTTTATCGCGGGAGGTGGCGGTGTTTTCCCGACCTGGCATCTCCCACCAGCGGGGCACCGCCCCAGCCGGCTCAAGTACTACGCTCGTGAATGGCCTCCCGACAAAGACGATAGCGGAGTGCGTGTAAATCTTAAGTACGGGGTGAGGGGATGATAAGGAAGAGGAAGGAAATAACGCGCAATGTCTGTGGCTCGTTTGGTGGAGTCTTGCTCCTGCATTCCCGGGTAATGATCGGAGGTAAAAGGGCCAACTGCCGATTTCCGCTAGAATTCCCTTCCAGACAGCGACTGTATTTGACTTATCTGAGAAACTAGTGTCGAGAATCCTACCACCACCAGGATCTGCCGATCAGAGGCATTGCAGCGACATCTTCTGAATCTTAGAGTAATACAAACATTTTATATTTTCCCTTAAGATTCATCAACTTTTCCGATATCAGGCTCGCCAATATGAGTATTTCTGCTAAAAGTTCGTTTGCCGACGCATGATTACAGCAGTTTTTCGTACTACTTCCTAAGGATGGGAAAGTATTAGTAAGAGGTGCATGTTTATACACGTCTTACTAATACTTCACATTTCAACCAGTTTTCCATTTCATTAAATTTTCAAACGGCAGCTTTGATTAGTTCGACATAATACTTTCACTTTTAAATTTCATCAAGAATGTTTGTTTTTTAGTTTGACGAAACACAATCCGCATGCTTAACTGAGCAGTGTGTATGTAGGACGGGGCGAGATGCCACACAGACAAGCAGTGGTTGGTGGTTAGGTGGGGAGATAAAAGAACCAATCAAACATTTCGCGCGGAGGGTGATGAGAAATGAACGAACGCGCCATTCTTTGTACTTTATTCAAGCTAGAAATCAATCATATTCAAAAATTTAATCATCAGGGATTCATATTGTGATGAAATTCGAAATATTTATTTTAAAACCGATATGAAATTTTACCGTGTGTTTAACGAAATCTCTTTTGTTTAACTCTCGAAGTGTGAGAGATTCGGAATAGAACATTACTCTCAGGGTATGCAAGTACAATTCAAACGTTACGAAGGAATAAAAAGGTAATTATTTTTTCGAATGTCCTTTTTGAAATAAACAAATCTTACTGTGGAGGTAGAATTCATTTCCTGTAATAAATCATGAGTGTGATCTGATAAATATCATGTCAATGCCACGTTACTTCGGCTTGGTAAAATAGATATTCCGGTACTGATGCCATTGCATGCTCGATCTATTATTTATTATATTCGTATTTTTTCGCTTCATCTTCAATGTCTTAATTAACGACATAATTAAAATTGGATTAAACATCGATGATTTTAAAACTGGATTGACGAAAACTCGATTGTATATATTTCTCATCCTTGATATATCCTTAATATTCATTTTATGCATATCCAAAAATCATTATAGAAGTTTGTTATGATGGTACTCTTTCATTTAAAAATATCAACCATGTAAAAACATTGAAATCAATGTTAAAAAATGTCGGCGTAAAAAATCGATGTTAAATCCGTCGATGATTGTATAAAAACATCGTCATCGACGTCGCATCCAGCTGTCGCGCGGGTGTGGGGGCAGGCGTCTGCGATCTCTCGCTGGAGTCGATAGAGGCCGCTGGCTCGCAAACGTGTGGGGGCGGGGAGGGGGGAGTATTTGCATCGGCGGCGGCGGCGGCGCGGGAGGAGGGAGGCGGAGGTCACCCCGCGGGTGACGTCATGGGCCCTCAACGGGACCCGGCGGCGGCGGCGGCGCATCGCTGCGCCTCGGGTGATTAATCGACGCACTCTTGCGCCGGGCGGCTGCACTCGGGGCCCGCGTCGCCACACATTGGGCACACATCGCCTTGACGGCGGCGGTCTCAGGAAAGGCAATTTCACCTGGCCCCGACAGCCGCTGACATTGCGGCTCCACCACAAACGGCGCAGGTCATAAAATGAAGACTCAAACATTGAGGACTTGCGTCAGGTACTACTATCTAATTATTAAGAAAACAGGATTTAATCAAATATTTTCACGAATACTTGGACGAGTTCCAAAGTCTTTTTTACACACAAAATACATCGAAGCATACGATGATGACTTTGCTTTTTCTACAAGTATTTCTCAAAATATTTAAATTGTGTTTTCTTAGTTAATAAGACGGACTAAATATGTACCTTTGGCGCTTAGCACATAGGAGAGATCCAGTCTTCAAATATAGCACTCAAAACCTTTTTCAATCTACTTCAGTCATTTTAAAACGCATTAATTCATGATTGCTTGTGATTTTAATGCTGCACATGTATACTGCAACGATTTTTTGGAAGTTCTTTTGTACTATTATCTTATAGAGACTAGGTGTCTTGAAGAACAAGATGGCGTATTTTTCCACCTCCATCTTTTGTTGCAACTTCCAGCTTTCTATAAATTCAATTACGTAAAAAACATGTATTTAACAGGCTTAAGGATGGAACAAATGCTGCTTGAGTTTCCTCAATATTAGCGCGAGTAAATAAGCTGTGTTTGTGCAGACTACTGAATGCACACACGTCCTCCACATTTCAGGTAGCATGATATCATTCGTGGTAACTTGAATTGACAACCTTCAAGATGTTTGAAAAACACATGAGTAAAAGTTCTCTGACACTACATTGGCTCACCAGACGAAGGAAGAAAACTATTGACCAAATGTAAATTAAGAGTTACATGATTTGAATCATTCAAATTAATGACCGTTTTAATCAGACATAACCTTTTTTTGTATATAGTTATTAATAAGTTGGCAAAAAGACTTACTTAAGGTTGATTAGAAAGCAATTCTTTAAAATTTCGTTGAATTGAACCTTGAATATGTCAAAGTTTTGCTCATCTTGCAAACATCCGATAAGAATCGTCCATGCAAATACAATCTCTACGGCTCTTATGGAACATCCACTCTCCTTTTTTAAATGGCGTCGACTGCGAGTCTCCGGGCGTAGTTAACGTAGTAACTGTATCAAAAATGATAGCGATAATATGGCACCAGCGTCCAAGCAATCCGTTGTCATGTTGCATCGTTTACACTCCGACAACTAGCGAAGACGGAATCGGCGGTACTCACGAATACGCAAACTTCCTCTTGGCATCACAACCACGAAAAAATAACATTATATCTCTACCAAGAATTTATATTTCAGAAAATTTACGAGAATGACTGTCATCTTCATTTTACGTAAATCCGCAATTCAGGGTCAGTCGCGTCTCCTCGCTTGCCCGCTTCATTAAAAAAATCATCAGGCAAAGGAAATATTTTTTTCGATTCCATTAGAAACACGACTAGAAACTTTTTAAACGAGTTACGTCCGACGCTGGAGCTCTTCAAAATACGCTATGTGAATATTAATGCTACTTTGGATCGGCAATGGAATTATAATGTGCTGTAGATGGAATTAATATGGATTGTGTCAATCTCTCTCACAAGGACTAATTTCAGAAAAAGTTTAATGGGAATAAATAAGACAAATAACACTTTAAATTTTTTTAATAAATAAAGCTCTGTTCTTTGACATGAGAATTTCTGTTCGTCACCTCTCTACGAGGCAGAGAGGGCGATTCCTGGTAAAAGCTCTGTGCTCGCCTTCCACCGCTAAGACCGGAGTTCAAATCTCACCCGATGCCAGAGGAATTAGTGGAGGTCAAATTTGGTTTGTGGTGGGTTTTCTCGGGCATATTCCGTCCTCTCTGCTTCTCACAACCCTCCATTATCATTCATATCATCACCTCCCTATCAAAAAGCACTCATCCATTTCCAGGTACTGCCATACCGCTTTGGTGCCGGTATCATATTAACAAATATATATATATATATATATATATATATATATATATATATATATATATGCGAGTGGATTTGAAATCCGTGGTACAATCAAGGCTGCACAAATCTCCTCAGTGTAACTACGTGTGCTCTCGTCAAGGCTGTCGCGCTAGAAACTCACAAATGAGCTGACAAGCGCATCACAGGAGTCGGCTCCAAGTTGCAGAGTTAAAAATGATCCTCGGAAAAAAACTTTCAATCCAAGCAAACAAGCGCTTGCAAGTAACGTAATCGCACTGCGGCCATCTTGCCACTTCCAGCACAAAAACATTTCTCAAACGCCGCATCTTGCAGAGTCATATCCACGAACGATGTGTCTAGATTACAAACAGAATCACGAAGACGGTCACAGTTGACTAGGCATAAATAAACGATGTAGAAGTGCTCGTTAGGGCTATAAGAAATGACTGAAATGATTAGAAAGATCCAACACAAGAAATGTGCAATTTAAGAAAAAATGTGAAGCTAACATCTTGTTGGCATCACGTTCTAGTAATGCAAAATTGAAGTTTTTTTCGCCTTTGTTAAATATATGATTGGCAAACTCGAACAATATTGGTTAAGGTCTTTGAAATATTTGTTCGTGGTGGGATGTTTGACGCAGAAGAAGCCGTCTCCTCATAC